ATATATATCACTTTCTGGCACTTCACCTGAAACTTGGAGATTAGTTGTACAATTAAATGCTTCGGCCAATGACCTATTAATCACAAACATGACTTGTGCATGAAACCCCTCGTTTGCTTTGTACTGGAGATATCACTGTAAAGGACTTAAAACCGAACACGTATATAACCAACTATCGTATAACATGTTTTGGAGGCGCTGCAGACCACTTGCTTCCTACGTAATAAGAAGTGGTGGATAAACACTTCACAACCTTAATTGGTTCTGAAATATACTGCTTTTGGTCAAGTGAAAGATTTAATGAATATATTAAGGTGCTTGTAAATGTCTGTTTCAATAGACGGTGTTGAAAGAGTGTTGTGTTGATCTAGGCATATTTTTTTAATTACTCCACTATTTCAACACTGAGAAAAACTTGAAGGCAAAACATTCAAATTAAATATAAACCATCCATTAGTTTCCTTTGCGTAGTATTATACAGAATAATTTCCATTATTTGAATAAAATTTGTCATTCCAAATACAAACTTAGCTACAGCCAGCGAGTGAGCTAACGTTTTTGGCAATATGCCAGCACTATGACAGCGAGGGAAACAAGATATAGGATTCATATTATTCTCAAGTTTGTTTTGTTTTTGTTTTCTTGGGTTTTTGGGTTTTTTTTGGGTTTTTATGTTTTTTTGATGGTTTAAACATACTTTTATTCACAAAGAATCTAGTTTGGATGGGAGATGACATGATTAGTGGGTGTATGAATAAAGTACAAAGAAAATTGTATGGGGATATAGGAAAGTAAGAAAATAGAGGCGAGAACGGATGGTATGATCAAACATTGGTTTGCGTCCATCTATATTAGTAAAGGGGCCCATTTTTCCGCAAATTTGGTCTTGCCTCCAAAAATGAATTTCTCTATGTTGTGATGATATTTTATTAGCGGTAATAATTGGGTAAATATGGGAATAGTCTTATTGTAGTAACAATTTTGAATATAAAGCTCGGTTTTTATAAAAGGTGGTTTTCAAGGATACTCAACTTTGAATCGCCAAGAAGGAAATTATTCATATTTAAGTCTAATTTTAAATTGGTTCTACTTTCATTGTTTGAACTTTTCGACAGGAAAAAAATAAATGTTCTAGTGTTTCACTTTCTGATTGGCAAAATGTACAAAGGTTATCCTCTATCAATCCTATTTTGTAAAGAAATTATTTTGATGGTATGATACGATGGATGAGTTTATATTGGATATTCCGTGTCTTTCTGTCCTCAACACAATTTCGTATTGTAATAAAACATTGGGACAGGTAAGTATCTGATATATGTGCATCCAACTTTGAGTTCGATTTAGAAGTAAGATCTTGATGAGAACAAATACCCTCATCATTACGAATCAGTTTATAAATAAATTTACAATCTAGTGATGAAATAATGTCCCTGAGAATCTTACAATTAATATTTAAATTTGTTCTGTTAACCGGGTTATCTTTTGATAATTTATTCCATGTGTTGGGTATGAAACCTATCAGTCTGAAATAAGAAATGAAATTATCATTTAATCTGAAGTCGTGTTTTAATACATTGAATTCTTTTAAGTGTCCTGAATCAGACAATAGGTCCCGAATATATCTAATTCCACACTGATACCATTTGATGTGTAGTTTAAAATCTTTATAAGGAACAAAACTCATGAAGGGGAGATTTCTGAATTCGTCAATATTCCTAAACTCAGAAGAAGTTTGCAACTTATTATAAATAGTTAAATATCTTTCCAAAAATCGTTCTTAATGTCTTTAATTAGCTTTTTTAATTGATGCTATCGATTTAAATCAGGATATCGATATTTTCTAGGTTTACCATCGTGCCAAGTGTTGCCATAAGCCATCTTTTTGTGTCAGGCGTTTTATCCACTTCAATTTCAAGTATTTACAAAAGCTTCAACATCAACCATGCCAAGACCTCCTTCTGAATGATCATTCATCAACTTTCTTCTTTTAATTTTATCTCGTTTTCCGTTCCAAATAGACTTAAACAAGATTGAGTTTAGCGTTTTAAAGAAGGTTTTATCTGGCAATGGAAGGGCTGAAAATAGATGTGTAAATAAAGGGATTATTTGTGATTTAATAATTGTTATTTTGCCATTTAATGTTAGTAATCTTTTTTGACCAGGAAAAGCATATCTGTCTTGCTTTATTTATTTGTTTATCAAAAGTCAAAGAAACCATTTGTTTCAACTCTGTCGAAAAATTTATTCCTAAAATTTTAAAAAGTTCTTTTGACCACTGCAAAGGCAAATGGGGACAAAGCTTTTCATTTGAATTCTTTTTTGAACCAGTCCAAGCCTTGGTCTTGTCACAATTAATCTTTAAACCGGACGCGTTATGTTCCAAGTTAAGTTCCGAGAGTCCCTCCTGTGATACTTCTAAGGTGAAATTTGCATCAGCATATTGGAAGGTTAGATATTCAACACCATTAACATCTCTACCTTTTATGCAAGTATTATTCTTAATAGATATGGAAAATAATTCTGCACAAATGATGAATAGATAGGGGGAGATAGGATCGCCTTGTCTACAGCCTCTTTCAAGATTAAAATAATTTGAAATGTGCCCTGTGCTTATTATTGCACTGTTACTATTATATTGAAACAATTTAATCCATTGTCTGAGAGAAGGTCCAAAATTGAATGCTTCCAGTGCTTTATCTATAAATTGCCACTCTACAGTGTCAAAGGCTTTTTAAAAAACTACTGTTATAAGAAGCCCTGGCTTTTTGTGTAGTTCACAGTAATTTATTATATCAGATAATATTCTAGTATTTTCCCCAATGAATCGGTCCTTAAGAAAGCCCGTTTGCGTTTTGCTTATGATATTTGGTGGAACACATTCTTGATTCTATTTGCTATTACTCCAGAAGCTATTGTTTGTCTACATTTAATAAAGTTATTGGGCGCCAGTTTTTTAGGTAACGCCTGTCTCTGTTTTCTTTAGGAATGCAGGGTATTATACCCTGGTTTTGAAAATTTGACAAAGTTCCAATATAGAAAGCATGTTCTATAGATCAAAGGAGAATAATTCCGATGTCTATCCAGAAGAACTTGTAGAATTCTGCTGAAAAACCGTTTGATTCTGGACTCTTTCGATTTTTCATAGATTTTAAAACAGAGGCACATTCATTTAGTGTGGCAGGACCCTCACAGCTGTTTCTCTCATTCTGATTTAATTTGACATCAATATTGGTAAACTGGCGGGCATAGTACTCCCAGTTGGTATCATGCTGGCTACTATATAAGTTTATGTAATATTTTGAAGTTTCAACAACTATATCACCAATGCTAGTTACACTCTTGTCATTAGTATCAAGTTTTTCTTTCATATGCTTATTGATATAATTTCTTTTCACCATCTTCATACCATTCTGCCTTACTTCTAAATATAATTCCTTTTATTTTTTCTGTTCGAATGGTTTCCAAAGTTTCCTTGTTTTATTTATCATTTGAAAGGATGTCATAATTTGATTCTAGCTTATTAATCTCATTTTCAAGTGTTTTTTCTTCTCTGTCAATGGACTTTTTTTGTTTTATTGTATAGGCTATTGTTTCCCTTCTTATTCTCATTTTTAACATTTCAAATACAAACTGGTCATTCATTTTGAAAGTCATATAGGCAATATCATCAGTAGTCCCAAATGCTTTGACTTCATTCAAAGTATTTTTCATAGTTTCTTTTACCAGTTTTACGTAATCTTTTTCATGCAGTAAGTTAGAATTGAATTTTCAATATCCAGGGCCTCTTTCAGTTGGTTTAAGGTCTAAATCGAGCGTAATATATGAGTGATCAGATTTGTAAGTTATTCCTATAGATACAGTTTTTACTAGAGAGAGAATATCCTCAGAAATTAAGAAGTAGTCAAGTCTACTTTGCTTTCAAGGAATGAGTTGACGCCATGTGTGTTGCCTAGTGTCAGGATTAAGTATTCTCCAAGGATCGACCAGCTCTAATTGCTCTTTGATATCAAGTATTTTGTCATGTGCCTTTGGTTATTTTTGTGTTCATAATTATAAGTATCATTGTAATAATCTTGCACCACGTTCCAGTCTCCACCCCAAACTATTGATCCTGAAAGTTTACTCAATTCATTAGCAAGATCCTCGAATAATTCTGGCGAATATTATTATTCTCAAGTTGCCATTATAAGAAAGCATAACGGGATCGGTTGGTTAGACTCACTGACTTGTCATCGTATCCGAATTACGTAGATCGAGGCTCATGCCGCCACATAGCTGGACTATTGCTGAGTGCGGCGTAAAACTAAACTCACTCACTCACTCACACTATTTCTGACGCCACATTAACTACACCTGAGGCCCGATTCACAAAACGTTCTTAGCACTATGCCATTCTTAAGCATATGATAAAGTATAAAGTTACGACAGGTCGTAAAGTTACGAACGCTTTATGGATCGGGACCCAGATCAGCATGATATAATCAGTGTGAATGAGTGAGTTTAGTTTTACGCCGCACTCAGCAATATTCCAGCTACATAGCGGCGATCTGTAAATATTCGAGTCTGGACCAGACAATCCAGTGATCAACAGCATGAGCATCGATCTGCGTCATTGGGAACCGATGACATGTGTCAACCAAGTCAGCGAGCCTGACCACCCGTTCCCGTTAGTGCCTCAACAAGCAGGGACTGAGGATCAATTCCAACCCGGATCTTCCGGGTCATTAGTCGATCAAACTCTTCCGAAAAGCAATGCGCCGATTACCATGATCAATTCTAGTAACCTGTTGTTCTTGTTATCAATGTCAGCCTTGAGTATTAAGTGATCATCGTATAGTGGTATATTTGAAAGAATTGTGTGAATACGTTCAAAGTTGCGTTTCACCATCTTCATCATGGTCACGTAGAGCTTAACCTTATGCATGCAATCTGTTGAAAAGCTCGATGCATATGACTATTATGTGTGATAGTGTGGACTGTAAAATACATTTGTTTGTTAGACTGCTCGGACGCATACAAATACGGCACCATGGACGGCCTCTACACCATTAACCCAGGGAGTGGAGATGCAAAGCTTAAGGTGTCCTGTGACATGATGACACCGGGTGGCGGTTGGTTGGTAAGTACAGGCCTACACGTTACGTAAATCCCGCTAACCAACAGGCGTCCCTCTGATTGAATTGGATTGTTTTGACAATGACGACTGAAACGTAATGCTTGTTTACTAAGATAAGCATGTTACACAAATTATATATTATGTTCTTAGGGGGACGGGGTAGCCTAGTGGTTAAAGCGTTCGCTCGCCACACCGAAGACCCGGGTTCGGTCCCCCACATGGGTAGAATGTGTGAAGCCCATTTCTGTCCCCCGCCGTGTTATTGCTGGAATATTGCTGAAAGCGGCGTAAAATTACACTCACTCACTGTAATAACCTTACATGCCAGTACAATATACTCCGCTTGTAACGAACTAACGGATATCACGAAATGACTTTTGGTCCCGACCACTTGTTAAATATTTTAGTTAAAGTGTTTATAACGGGAATAAAGTTGAGCTCTTTTTAACGGCAGTATAAGGCAGAAGGATGCAATGGCAAAACTGTCCTGAGTGACACTTACCTATTTATTCTCTCCACATGTCATATAGGCTTAAGTACATTCTGGGGCGGTGGGGTAGCCTAGTGGTTAAAGCGCTCGCTCGTCACGCCGAAGGCCCGGATTCGATGGGTACAAAGCGTGTGACCGATTTTTGGTGGCCCCCGCCGTGATGTTGCTGGAATATTGCTAAAAGCTGCGTAATAACATACTCACTTAAGTCCAATTTGCAGTAATGTTTTAGTTCGTAATATGTAACTAAAGCAGATAGTATATTAATGTTTGAAGCGGCAGACAAATATCTCTTCTCCTAGTATTTGGTTCACCTGCACGCCACGTGTAGCTTCAGCTGGGGTTTGAGTGGTGCGTTCACTCCTGTGAACATGTGACGGAACCAAGACGTTCAGTGAACGGTTCACCGACAGACTAACGGTCTAGGTGTTTAGTGAAGAGTGGATATGCTTCTCAAGTGTGGCTGGTTGTTTTTTGACAGGGTTGCTTCCGTGTCCCAAGTAGCACGGTGTCACATTATCACTCCACCTGTATCTGGCTTGAAGCCAAGTTTTCAATTAAACTGATAAGTTTAACTGCATGTAACGTGCAGCTGGGTGTTTGGTGAAGAGTCTATCAGTATGTCACGTGTAGGTAAGTGTTCAGTGAAGAGTGAATGTGTGCATCACGTGTAACTAGATGCTCCGTTTAGAGTGAAATCATCACGTGCAGCTACAGGTGAAGATTGAATTAGTACATCACGTGTAGCTAGGTGTTAATGCATGAGCGTGATGTCCTCTAAAAGCTAGATGTCCTCTAATACGTACATGTGGAAGTCTGTGTGGCTAGCTGTACATCGTCTGTAATGGGTCCTTGTTAACACTACCAAAAGCTTCATGTCCTCTAATACGTCCATGTGTATATATGTGTGGCTAGCTGTACATGTATATCCTCTGTAATGGGTCTTTGATTGACTCCACGCGAAGACAGGTGTCCTCCATGTGTATATATGTGTAGCTACCTGTTACAGTACATAATGTCCAGTGAGTCCTTGTCACCACCACGCTAAGCTAGGTGTCCTCCATGTGTATATCTGTGTAGCTACCTGTTACAGTACATAATGTCCAGTGAGTCCTTGTCACCACCACGCTAAGTTAGGTGTACTCCATGTGTATATCTGTGTAGCTACCTGTTACAGTACATAATGTCCGGTGAGTCCTTGTCACCACCACGCTAAGCTAGGTGTCCTCCATGTGTATATCTGTGTAGCTACCTGTTACAGTACATAATGTCCAGTGAGTCCTTGTCACCACCACGCTAAGCTAGGTGTACTCCATGTGTCTATGTGTGTAGCTACCTGTTACAGTACATAATGTCCAGCGAGTCCTTGTCACCACCACGCTAAGCTGGGTGTACTCCATATGTATATCTGTGTACCCAGCTGTTACAATACATAATGTCCAGTGAGTCCTTGTCACCACCACGCTAAGCTAGGTGTCCTCCATGTGTATATCTGTGTAGCTACCTGTTACAATACATAATGTCCAGTGAGTCCTTGTCACCACCACGCTCAGCTAGGTGTCCTCCATGTGTATACCATTCTAGCTACCTGTTACAGTACATAATGTCCAGTGAGTCCTTGTCACCACCACGCTAAGCTAGGTGTACTCCATGTGTATATCTGTGTAGCTAGCTGTTACAATATATAATGTCCAGTGAGTCCTTGCAAGCACCACGCTAAGCTAGGTATCCTCCATGTGTATATCTGTGTAGCTACCTGTTACAGTACATAATGTCCAGTGAGTCCTTGTCACCACCACGCTAAGCTAAGTGTCCTCCATGTGTATATCTGTGTAGCTAGCTGTCACAATATATAATGTCCAGTGAGTCCTTGTCACCACCACGCTAAGCTAGGTGTCCTCCATGTGTATATCTGTGTAGCTACCTGTTACAGTACATAATGTCCAGTGAGTCCTTGTCACCACAACGCTAAGCTAGGTGTACACCATGTGTATATATGTGTAGCTACCTGTTACAGTACATACTGCCCAGTGAGTCCTTGTTACCACCACGCTAAGCTAGGTGTCCTCCATGTGTATATCTGTGTAGCTACCTGTTACAGTACATAATGTCCAGTGAGTCCTTGTCACCACCACGCTAGGCTAGGTCTCCTCCATGTGTATATCTGTGTAGCTACCTGTTACAGTACATAATGTCCAGTGAGTCCTTGTCACCACCACGCTAAGCTAGGTGTCCTCCATGTGTATATCTGTGTAGCTAGGTGTTACAGTACATACTGTCCAGTGATTCCTTGTCACCACCACGCTAAGCTAGGTGTACTCCATGTGTATATCTGTGTAGCTACCTGTTACAGTACATAATGTCCAGTGAGGCCTTGTCACCACCACGCTAAGCTAGGTGTACTCCATGTGTATATCTGTGTAACTAGCTGTTACAGTACATAATGTCCAGTGAGTCCTTGTCACCACCACGCTAAGCTAGGTGTCCTCCATGTGTATATCTGTGTAGCAACCTGTTACAGTACACAATGTCCAGTGAGTCCTTGTCACCACCACGCTAAGCTAGGTGTCCTCCATGTGTATATATGTGTAACTAGCTGTTACAGTACATAATGTCCAGTGAGTCCTTGTCACCACCACGCTAAGCTAGGTCTCCTCCATGTGTATATCTGTGTAGCTACCTGTTACAGTACACAATGTCCAGTGAGGCCTTGTCACCACCACGCTAAGCTAGGTGTACTCCATGTGTATATCTGTGTAGCTACCTGTTACAGTACATAATGTCCAGAGAGTCCTTGTCACCACCACGCTAAGCTAGGTCTCCTCCATGTGTATATCTGTGTAGCTACCTGTTACAGTACATAATGTCCAGTGAGTCCTTGTCACCAACACGCTAAGCTAGGTGTCCTCCATGTGTATATCTGTATAGCTAGTTGTTATAGTACATAATGTCCAGCGGGTCCTTGTCACCACCTCGCTAAGCTAGGTGTCCTCCATGTGTATATCTGTGTAACTAGCTATTACAGTACATAATGTCTAGTGAGTCCTTGTCACCACCACGCTAAGCTAGGTGTACTCCATGTGTATATCTGTATAGCTAGTTGTTACAGTACATAATGTCCAGCGGGTCCCTGTCACCACCTCGCTAGGCTAGGTGTCCTCCATGTGTATATCTGTGTAGCTAGCTGTTACAGTACATAATATCCAGTGAGTCCTTGTCACCACCACGCTAAGCTAGGTGTACTCCATGTGTATATCTGTGTAGCTACCTGTTACAGTACATACTGTCAAGTGAGTCCTTGTCACCACCACGCTAAGCTAGGTGTACTCCATGTGTATATCTGTGTAGCTAGCTGTTACAATATATAATGTCCAGTGAGTCCTTGTCACCACCACGCTAAGCTAGGTGTCCTCCATGTGTATATCTGTGTAGCTACCTGTTACAGTACATAATGTCCAGTGAGTCCTTGTCACCACCACGCTAAGCTAGGTGTCCTCCATGTGTATATCTGTGTAGCTAGCTGTTACAGTACATAATGTCCAGTGAGTCCTTGTCACCACCACGCTAAGCTAGGTGTCCTCCATGTGTATATCTGTGTAGCTAGCTGTTACAGTACATAATGTCCAGTGAGTCCTTGTCACCACCACGCTAAGCTAGGTGTCCTCCATGTGTATATCTGTACTAGCTACCTGTTACAGTACATAATGTCCAGTGAGTCCTTGTCACCACCCACGCTAAGCTAGGTGTCCTCCATGTGTATATCTGTGTAGCTAGCTGTTACAGTACATAATGTCCAGTGAGTCCTTGTCACCACCACGCTAAGCTAGGTGTCCTCCATGTGTATATCTGTGTAGCTAGCTGTTACAGTACATAATGTCCAGTGAGTCCTTGTCACCACCACGCTAAGCTAGGTGTCTCTCCATGTGTATATGTGTGTAGCTAGCTGTTACAGTACATAATGTCCAGTGAGTCCTTGTCACCACCACGCTAAGCTAGGTGTCCTCCATGTGTATATCTGTGTAGCTAGCTGTTACAGTACATAATGTCCAGTGAGTCCTTGTCACCACCACGCTAAGCTAGGTGTCCTCCATGTGTATATCTGTGTAGCTACCTGTTACAGTACATAATGTCCAGTGAGTCCTTGTCACCACCACGCTAAGCTAGGTGTCCTCCATGTGTATATCTGTGTAGCTAGCTGTGTTACAGTACATAATGTCCAGTGAGTCCTTGTCACCACCACGCTAAGCTAGGTGTCCTCCATGTGTATATCTGTGTAGCTAGCTGTTACAGTACATAATGTCCAGTGAGTCCTTGTCACCACCACGCTAAGCTAGGTGTCCTCCATGTGTATATCTGTGTAGCTAGCTGTTACAGTACATAATGTCCAGTGAGTCCTTGTCACCACCACGCTAAGCTAGGTGTCCTCCATGTGTATATCTGTGTAGCTAGCTGTTACAGTACATAATGTCCAGTGAGTCCTTGTCACCACCACGCTAAGCTAGGTGTCCTCCAT